ACAGCATGGCTTGATAAGCGGTGTGTAGGTCCGTGCCTGGGATCCAAACCTGTGAACCCTTGGCTGCCGAAGCGGAGCACGTGAACTTAACCACTACGCCACCAGGCTGGGCCCACATGTTGTGTTTTCATTTTAAAAACAGCTTTATTGAGATAATTCATTACCATAAAACTCACCCTTGTAAAGTGTACAGTTTTTTGGTTTTAGTATATTCAGAGTTGTGCAGCCATCACCACTAATTCTAGAACATTTCCTTACCCCAAAGAGAAAATCCACGTACATTAGCTGTCAATTCCATTCCCTCCCTCCTGCCAGCCCCAGGCAGCCACTCATCTGCTCCTGTCTCTGGATGCGCCTACTCCGGCATTTCTCATAAATGGAATCATACAGTATGTGGTCTTTCATGTCTGACCTACTTCACTGATCATGATATTTTCACAGTTCATCCGTGTTATAGCAGGTGTCAGAATTTTTTTCCTTTTTAAGACTCAATAATATTCCATTATATGGCTAGACTACATTTTGTTTATCCATTTATCAGATGATGGATGTTTGGGTTGTTTCCACTTTTTGGCCATTGTGAGTAATGCTGCTGTGGACACTCATGTACATGTTTTGTGTGGATGTAGGTTTCATTTCTCCTGGGTATGTGTCTAGGCTTGGCTTTGCAGGATGATATGTTGACTCCACGTTTAACCTTTGGATGAACTGCCACACAGTTTCCACAGCGGTGACACCATTTTACATCCCCCTCAGTGTGTGTGAGGGTGTGGGAGGTTTCACTTTCTCCACATCCTCACCAGCACCTGCTGTCCATCCTCTGATTCTTGTCATCCTAGTGGGAGTGAGGTTACACTTGTGTCATTAAAGTCCATGAGAAGCGCAGGTGTAGTGTGCTGGGCACGTGGGGGAGTTTGTCCCAGCTGGGGACTCAGGCAGCGTGTCCTACCTGAGGAATGGGCGTCCCCAGGGCGCTTGACCAAGCAACGTGTCACACGTCCACCTCCACTCGCACTAGTGCACTTGGGTCATTCCCCCTAACCCCCCTTCTCAACAAGGTCTAGCATCTCCATGCTTCCAGACCAGGGTTTTCCAGACTCTTCCCTCTCTCCTCTGCTGAGTCTAGTCTGCCTCTAAGTGCTGCCGTCTCCATTCCCACTGCCACTCGAGACGACCAAGTGCCATCATTCCCATCTTAAAGATGGGGAAACCAAGGTACACGGAGGTCCAGCAGCCTGCCCAAGCCCCAGAGTGGGGTACAGGTGAGGTCTTCAGGGACACCTCTTGGGAGATGGCCACACAGGGCCTGGTCTCCCCGTGTTGGAATATACTTTGCTTCTTAGTCAGGTGCTTTTTCTACTGCCTCATATAGCAAATTTGTTTTCTTTTTCTACTCAGGAAACCGATCTTTCTATATTTGATCTAATTGGCTTAGAAAATAAAATGACTCGCCATGAGGCGGAATTGCTTTGTAAGAAAAAGGTGACTCGGAAACTCATTGAGGAGCTGTTCACTGCACCGCCCCCGTCAAACAGACCTGCAGCCGTCAGACTGAAGCCCAGCAGGTGTGTGGTGTGGAGCATTGCTTCCTGCTCACCGTGAGCTCTGGCTGGGTCCTGGCTGGTCATGATTCCGCCCCTGGACCGTGGGGTCCGGCTGACGTTTCCCCTCACTGCAAGGGGCCCTGGCCACACAGTCCCTCGGGGAGACCTGGGACCATTGGGTTTCAGTTTCACATGAGAACCTGGGCCACAGCTTGTGAAGAGAAAGGCCAGGCATCTCATTTAGTATGTGTTTCTCCTGGAGATCGCCCAGATGTCCTTGGTTTCTGTGAGAGTAGCTCATTATAAACGGCAGTTGTGGGCACTCTGCACCTCCTGGCCAGGGTGATATGGCCACTCACCCAATGAAGAAGGGCCCTTTTATCATCTTTAAGGAATGTTGGGATTCGAGAGGGATCCGAAAGGGGAAGGGATCAGGGAGGGGGAGGTCAGGCTGAATCAAACCTGGTGCGTGGTGTGATGGCAGCTGTCACGGGCAGACGCACGAGTAGCGAGGGTAGAGCGTGTGCTGTGGGGTGGTGTTGGGGCCCTGAGGACAGACAGAGGGCTCCATCCACCCTGACCGCAGCCTGAGGGACATCTAAAGGACATCTGAAACGATGATTTGGCGGGTGCCATGAAGCTAGCGGTGGGTAGGGGGCAGAACATGTTAGATGATGAAATTAAAACATATGATTCAAGACAAGCTCAATCCAGCAGGTTGGAAATATGTAAAATCCTATGGTCAGGTTAAAAATGAGAAAGAAAATAGATGTTTTAGAGAGAAAAGGGCCAATTCTGCAAAGTGGCAGCCCATTCTTGTTGCCTCTTCTGTGTATGACTTCTCTGGGGGACTTGCAACCGACCACTTTCGCCTCATCTGCCTAGCCTGTGCTCGGGGCCTGCAGCCCTCAGTTAAATACACAGATGGGGCAGCAAAGCTGCCTTCCTCCTGGGGCTGGATGGCTTTACTTAGTGGATTTCTGCTGGCTATCTCCACCTGTTGCGTTGCCCAGGGGTTTTGAAAATATAGAATTCCTGCCATTACAGTTTTCCAAGTAAAATGAATATAAAGAGCATGTTGCACTGTGATAAAATCCGAAATGGCAGCCGGGTGTGGCTCCCCTTCTGCAGGTTTACCAGCTGTTGTTACCTGTGCTGCCTGTGACCTCACCATGCAAGCTGACTTCTCACCCATTTTACTCTCGATCTGAACAGTGGTGTCCTGGACTTATGTGTTAGATGCATTGTTTCTAATCCACATTGATGGGAACTTAAAAATTAAAATCATATTCCCCCCATATCACCCAGGCATCAGAGTAGACGTACCACTCTTGTGTCCTAAGTGTTGTCAGCCCCTCCCCAGAACACATGGTGAGCTTCTGCACAGTGGTTAGAAACTCCCCCACCCCCCTTTAAACTGCCCTGGGAGTGGGACCCCCTCACTGCTCTTGAGTGGTCCCGCACCCCCTGGGCCCCATCAAGGCACCCGCACCCCGAGTCTCAGCCGTGCTCGTGTCTTTGCACAAATGGCGTCTAGGTTATTTCAGCCTGTGCAGTATGGCCAGAAGCCCGAGGGTCGCACTGTGGCTTTCCCCAGCACACACCCGCCCCGGACAGCGACCTCTGCCGCAGCCACTGCCACTCCACAGGGCCACGTTCGAGGACGGCCACCGATCGCCACGTTCTCTGCAAATCCGGATGCAAAAGGTATGCCTCCTGTGGTGGGGTGTTCTCGGTGTCATGAAGGGTTTCTGTGGAAGAAGTTCCTCGCACTTTTCCTTGCCCCTCTGGACGTGTGACCATTCCTCTGAGCAGGAGCAGGAGTGGGACTATCTGCTCTGGCTCTGCCGAAGAGACCATGTGTAGTTCGCCCGTGAGTGTTGGGCTCTTTTATTTCTTTAAACTGGATGTTTTCCCTATACAAGACATTCTACTCTTAGTCGAGCCATTGTTGATATGACGATGAAGATGTACCTTTGGCAGAAATGTTCTCTTTCGTGTAGGGAAATGCACATCAAAGTCGTTTATGAAACTTGTGAGGAAGTCTGCTCTTGTGTTTTGCGCCACCACTTACACATAACCCGATCATTACTGTGAAGGAGGATAGGGTTACATGGCAGCAAAAGTAATGAAGATAGTGTTCTACCCCTAATCCGCAGGGTCCTTGATGTCAGTCCACTTGGTTCTTTAAGATCTACATAAATGTCCAGACAGTACTACTTTGCTGCAAGAGGTCTTTGTACAGCTTGGGGTGCAGGCGGGGCCTGTGCTCTGAGTGGTTAGGAGGTGGTTTCTAATTGACACTCACGTTTGAATGGGCTGACTTCTAACATTCCATTTACTCCAGAAATGTACTGGGTAGCCTGCTGATGAACTCAAAGTGAAATGAATTAACAACAGATAAAAAATTATATTTCTCTCACTCTAGAGACACCCCCCTCCCTTTCTTTAGAGAGGGCTTCTCATTTGAGACATGGTATGAAATAATGTTTGTTTTATTTCTTTAAAATTACTGAGAACCTCTAACAGCTTTGCACAAACAAACCTTATTGATTGCAGCGGCAGCAGCCCCGTTTCAGACCTCTCAGGCTTCCACCGGTGCTCCGAGACACCAGCCCGCCTCGACCTTCAGCACAGCACCTAGCCCAGCCCATCCTGCGAAACTGCGGGCCCAGACCACTGCCCAGGCCTCCGCCCCAGGCCCGCCCCAGCCCCAGCCCCAGGCCCCCTCGCACCCGGCGGGGCAGAGCGCGCTGCCTCAGGGGCTGGTGCTCACCTCGCAGGCCCAGGCGCGCCTGCCGAGTAAGTGGCCTCGCCTCTCCCGGTTCTGCCCCCTCTTTACCACAAGGCAGCTCTGTTCAGAGCAGTGGTGTGTGAGGGGCCTTGCTCTCCACTCCCTTTGTCTCCCCTAAACCCATGCCTAGTGCTGCCTTTCGCCACGCTGTTGTTTCTGGCCCTAAATCTGCAGAGGGAGGGCTCCTCTCAAGGGCCAGTGTCCGGGGCATTGTCCTCTCTCTGTCCTTTCTCCTGATGCCTGCACGCCACTCTGCTTTCTTCCTGCGCGCGTGCCCTCCCTCACTGTGCTGATCGTTGCACTTCTCCTAGTGTCAGCCAAGATTTCCTTCCGTCAGTCACCAGGGTCACCTCAGGGAGCAAATAGGAATAAAACAGAAGCCAGTAACTTCCTTGCCAGCCATGTGAACTAGTGTTTGGTTTCTAAAAACCATGACTTCTTTTAGTCTCTCGCTTATCACCAAATTTAAACCTGGAATGAATTATTGCTCGACCAAGACATTTTGTAATAAATCAGTGACTTAAAACATTGCAATCTTATTAAATTTTTTTAATAGAGCTTTTTATTGAGACCAGTGAAGTTAACATATTTCTAAATCTTATATGTACCCCTGTTCATTCTGCTGTAGAAAGTATCCGTACTGAAACTATTAGGGGCTACATCATTTCTCAGATGCCGCCTCAAGCACTGTATTTGTTGGGGTAGCAGTTGTGTGGAGGCCTTTCTGGAAAGATGAGAGAGAGAGGTAGCGTCACGAGGAGACACTGAATTCAGGCTAGTTTTCTCTCACGACAAGCCTCTCTCTTCCATTACTAGCAAATAGAGAGTAATTATCCTAGTGAATTGCGCAAGGGAGGAAGCACTTGTATATGTTCCAGTTCTTTTTGCCTAGGGTAGGAACTATGTGGGCTGTGCCCCAGGAGCTGTGCTTGGGGGGCATAAAGTCAGCCAGGCCGCCCTTCACTCTGACGCCTTCACTGAGGGCTGATGGGACATTCAAACTTCCATGCACAAATCTCTGCATTTTCCCTTCCTTATTCATGGTTTCTGTGGGCAAGATATTTTTGGGTGTTTTTCTGGTCTTTTGCTAACTGTTCTGTTATCACTAATAATTCTGGCATGGGTTTTCTTGGGAGGAACATTGAGACTCGAGTATCGACTATTGGGTTTAAACCTTGAAGCCCGTTGGTCAGTTATAGCTGGAAGGCAGTGCCTTTTTGGGTTAGGTGTATATGACTCCATCTGAGTTATGTTTTAAAAAAAATGTTTTAAGCAATGTTAAGTTTCCCGTTTCTTCGCAGTAAACATAGATGGAATCCTACGACCTAGTTCAAATTAGTGTGAAACTTTATACCTGAAAGCTACATTTGTGTGATATATTTATGTACTTAAATACATTTCCAAGTTTTGAAAAGGTCATGGGTTTAATTGAAGCTAGTTATCTATTATTTTATATCTGTAGTGAGAAAATCTTGTTTACCTCTGTGAGCTAAATTGGACGTTTACTTTTTTCACATCTTGAAAATTCTCTCAAGAGTTTGATATGAGAGTTTCAAAGTATATTACAAACAGATTTCTGCTATTTTTTTTTTACTTGGTGAGGAAGATTGGCCCTGAGCTAACATCTCTGCCAGTCCTGCTCTATTTTGTGTGCGGGTCGCTGCCACAGCATGGCTTGATGAGTGGTATAGGTCCATGCCCAAGTTCTGAACCCGCGAACGCTGGGCTGCCCAAGCAGAGCGTGCCGAACTTCACCACTATGCCACCAGGCCAGCCCCTGATTTCTGCGATTTTTGATGTTTGCTACTTTTTTATTGGTTGGAAAGAAAAGTAAAATGTTCTTTAATAGTTTCGATAGTTATATTAATATCTGATATCTAAAATCTCTACCAGTTAGGATTAAATAAGTTAAACATTAAAATTCGATGTTAATTTTAATTGATTTTTCTATTAAAATAATTATTTTCTGAAAGCGTTAGAAAGCGATACGTAATAAATGTTTCTGTGACACTTGGGTTTACTATAGACGGTTGTTCTGTGTGTGACAAATGATCGTCAGTATAACAATTGCAAACTTTCCCCCGAAGTTTTAATTGGTTTTTCTGCGTTTCTGCAGGTGGGGAGGTAGTCAAAATAGCCCAGCTGGCTTCACTCGCGGGACCGCCAAGTCGAGTCGCCCAGCCTGAGACCCCTGTGACGCTGCAGTTCCAAGGGAACAAATTCACCTTGTCACACAGCCAGCTCCGACAGCTCACCGCTGGCCAGCCCCTGCAGCTACAAGGTAAAAGGTGGCTAACTCATTGTGACAGGTGAAGAGCTGAACTGCGGACGCTTTGCAGGTGGAGCCGTCCGGGCCCGCCTCCTCCCCTGCAGCTGTGACTTGGGCCTGTTGGGCAGCCCCTGTGAGCTCCGCTGCTTCACTGGGAAATGGCCTCAGTGAGCCTTACCTGGTGGGGCGTCTGGAGGACTAATGGGATAACACACGTCACCCCTGTGGTTGCCTGTATGCGATACATACGAAATAGGTGATACTCATTTTTTAATAGAATCTGCCTTTTGGAAACAAGTTTCTTATTTTTAAAATCAGAATACAAAGATTTGCTACTTTCTAATTTTAGTGTGAGATGAATTGTCCTGAAGATGCCAAAGGACTAGCAGTTTCTGTAGAAGTTATGTTCTTTTATATACAGGTTTTACAATTTTAACTCCCAGACCAAAGCCCCCCCGGCCTGTGGCTGAGAGCGATGTGTTCAAGTAGTAATTGCTTTTTGAAGAAAATGGGGGGATGCAATGTGAGTGGCACGTTAATATGAATCCCTGGTGACGACATGGCAGCACTTGAGTCATCTCAGTTCCTCTTGGCTGTAGATTAGGATTCAGAGGTGGTGTCCATAGTAGCCTCGGCTGGTGCCCTGCCTGAGCAGCCTTCTCGGGATATGTTGTTCATGGCTCTTGTCAGGGGTGAAAGGCTCTGTTGTCAGCCAGGTCTGCGATGCTCCACGCCAACGCTGGAGTCACAAACAGCTTAGCAGAGCAGAGGCACCCAAGAAGCCTGCAGCAGAGAAACCATTTGATTGGTTTAATTCCACATTTCTCCCGTTTTTTGACCAAGGGGCGAGGCTGTCTGTTACATTTCTGGTGGGCTGTAGTTGTGTTAGAGCACACATGTGAGCTTTCCTCTAGAGGAAAAGATATTGGAAAGACTTCATCACACAAAAGGTTGAAAATGACAAGCTCCTTAAACAGTGACAGTAGAACTGCAGAGTTTGGGCTAAAAAACAAGTCTTTAGGTATTTCTTCATCCAGCATCCAATTGGTTGGCAAGCACCAATGCGTGATCTGGAAGCTAGGACCTTCCACCTGTGACCAGCTTGGGAGCTCAGGGCCTCAAGCACACACGACAGACCCTTAGCCAGGTGCCCATCGCGTCACCCACAATAGGAATGGCAAGGAAGAGATGAGCTTTTTCTTGATATTAAGCAAAATGACTTTGTTCCTTAGAGTTTTCATTCACTGTGAATGAAGTATTTTCATTTTTCTCCAAGTAACTGAACTTTGCATTGCCTCAGAGTAAATTTGATTTTGGATTTTTGGTTTATTGCTGTGTTTGTTTCTGTACATTTGGAAGTGAGTGTAGCCTGTAGGTAAAAGGCGCACACGTGTGATTGCAGGCAGTGTTCTTCAGATCGTGTCTGCGCCTGGGCAGTCCTACCTGCGACCTCCAGGCCCCGTGGTGATGCAGACCGTGTCTCAGGCAGGAGCCCTCAACGCCCTGGGAAGCAAACCCCCAACCAGCGGCCCAGGCCCTGCACCCCTGACCCCGTCAGGTGAGTGCTCTGAACAGGAAGAAGACTTGGCTTTGAAGCTTCTTTTTGATTTTCTTTGCTTCTAAGGTAACTGCAGGGCGTTTGTGATGTCCGACTGCGTGCCTCAGAACCTGTAAGTCCCGTTTGTGGCCGTCTCTGATTTCCACAGACGGGCTAGTGTCGGCGTGGTGTTTCTTTCTCTTTTGCTCTCAATGATATTGGTTGAATATAACCAGCCTCCACTTTACCTTAGATTTTGGGGTTTTTTTGCTCTAACAAGAGACTTGGAATCATGAGAAATTTTGCTTGTTAATGTCAAATACACGTAGTGAACGTGCGAGAATCTCCCCTGGGACAGGTAGTGGAGCAGAGTTCGGAGCCTTCTCTGTCTGGCCCAGCCTGTGCTACCCCTTGCTCATCCTACAGCCTGCTTCCCGCCAGGGTCCTGCTCTTCTGGGCGCACCCCTTCTGCCTGGGGTGCCTGCTGAGGAGCCTGCAGACTGGGAGGTGCTTGGGTTGAGTTGATGTATGGAAGCAGCAGGGACCACTCCCGACCTGAATCCCTTGTCACCACTGAGCCCCAGTCGCTGGATGGTCTGCAGTAAAGCTGGGGCAGGGCCTGTGTACCCCTTCCCGTTGGGCTGTGCCAGTGGGGTGCTGGAGGAGGCTGCAGGGCTGTTGGTGTTGCCCCGGCTACAGTTCTGCATCCCAGCCGTGACATATGGTTCCACTTGCAGTCGGTTCTGTTTTCCGGGTTTTCTCCTACCCTCCCAGAACCAGCTGCTGGCACCCTCCCCAGAGCTTAATAAATCCTGTTTTGTGGGCCTCAAGCTCCTGTGCCTGGCACCAGCCCCATCCACTAGGTTCTAATCACCTCGACCCTTCCCTTTGCTCACCAAGTGGCTTTCTGACCCCAGGGCCCTTTTCAGTCCTCGAATACCTCTTTCAGCAGTCCCCTGTGTGCAAGTGTCTGTCAGGATAAGCAGCATGGCCATGCTGGTGGGAGCAGGCCGTGTGGGATCCTGGGGTCGCTCTGTCCTGGTCTAGAGGGCAGTGCTGACTCCCTGCCCACAGGCAGGTGGAGTTGATGGTGAAGCACCGAGGGAAGTGGAGTGCTGGGGCCCATGTGGCTGCTGCACTGCTGTGATTGCAGTGAGAGTGACCAGGGTCTGAGGTGTGTGGTGGACTCCTCTGAGCACATGGGGCACTCACCACAGGAGAGACAGACCCATGACGCTCAATCATCGCCAGAGAGCAAGAATGCTTTGCTGGCAGTTCTGAATAACTTACACATTCCAGAAATGTGCTAGTGAAAGATGATGAGAGCATTTTAGAGAGCGTGCTGGTGGAGGATGAAGGTCTGGAGAGTGTGCCAGTAGCCTTGGTTTCCAGCTCTTCATTTTTGCATTTGTAGTGGGTGTGCCTGGTCGAGTGGCAGTCAATCCCCTGGCTGCAGGAGAACCTGGAATGGCCTCCAAGCCAGCCTCTCCCATCGGAGTACCAACCCAGGTACGGTGCAGTACACCCGAATGCCACGTGGTGCCGATGGGCAACACCTCCACGCGTGGAAGCTGGTTTTCAGAAGCTGCTTGTTACCAGAGATGGTTGTGATATTTAACAGCTTCTGTGAGGCATCATCAGTTTACATGCCTTCAAAAATACATTGTCTCTCTGAATTATAGAATTTTGATTTTAAAAATACATTTCCAAATAAAGGGAATGAAACTGGGCTTTATAATTGCAAAAATCCCCTTTCACATTTTTTTATATTCTCATACCTGTCTTCCAGGCATTAGAAATGCTCATAGTGTTTCGAGAAATGCTTTCACTTTGGTGAGGAGAAGAGTGCCGTTTTCTTTGCCTCCTTGCTGTTGCTGTTTCCTGTAGAACCAGGACCTGTGGGTCTAGGTGTGCTCTGTGTAGCAGTCGCCATAGATGAGGGATCCCACAGGGCCGGGGGAGACCAGTAACTGGGCCTGTTGTTTTGCACTAACCATTTACTTCCTTGCTTTTGATAAAGGAGGAGAAGACCAGACTTTTGAAAGAGCGGCTGGACCAGATTTATTTTGTCAATGAACGGCGCTGCTCCCGTGCTCCCGTATATGGCAGAGATTTGTTGGGGATCTGTTCCCTGGCCAACAGAGAGCAGATACCATGGCACGGCTCTTTCGATAGCAGTCACAGGAAGGGGGCTGGGCCAGCGAGCTGTTTCACGTCACCCTCCAAAAGTCAGAGGGACCTGATTCTGACACTGACTCAACGTCAAGAATCCCTCCAGGATGTTATCGACAGGTAGGGTGGCCTGTATGTATAGATGTATTTAAAGGTTTTTTACTCACTATGTCGCACCTCAGCAACTTTCGGTGTTGTTTTCTGGATGTTCACCTTATTCCCATAAGTTTCTCCTTGAGTTGTCCCTTGAAAGTCTGTTTTGAAATCACTTTGGGGGTCTTCAGCTTTGCTGTCAGATGGTCTTTCCATGAAGCTTGCCGACGCCTGCAGGTTGATTTCTTTCTGCGGAGGCATTGGGCCTGTCCTGGGGACGGCCTTGGGATGAACGTTGGCTGGCCTATGTGAAGAGCCACAGCTAATTCTGGGTGTGGGGAACATGTTCTTGACGATTTTCTCCATTTTGTTTTTTTAAAATAATAGTTTATTAAAAACCACGTGAATGACTTAAAATTGTGTGATGAGACATGTATATTTAAGAGTTAAACTAAGAAAACAGGCTCTTAAGAGAGAAAATAAAACTCCAGATGCTGTTGGGGCACAGTGGCTGCACCGATCCCTCTTCTGCCAAGCCGCGTCTTTGCTTCCTCTTTGCCTTATGTACTGTATCAGCCCTGTTTGCGATTTCATTCACTGCTTTGACCTAGTTTCTAGATTCAGCCTGAGAACGTGTTTTCTCTCCCTTCTCTGTTTTGTGTTGTTCGGCGGCAGTTCCCATGGTTAGTTGTATTTACAGTAGGAAACCCAGCAGTGCTCCTGTGCCCTGGCTCAGCTTTCAGGATGTATCTACTGTAGGTCTCTCAGATCAGAAACAGAAATAATGGAGAAAAATAAAACTGGGAGTGGTTCTCCACATGTGAGCGAGTCAGCCTCTAACTCTGGACTCTTTCCTCCTGTCTCCATGTAGTTAGGTTAGTAACTGCCTGCACTCATGCACTCTTCTTTCTTGTAGATGCTGATTTGTCTTTCTTTCCTTCTTCTTTCTCTAACATGATAGATAACTTTTTAAAAAATAAACTTTAGGGCCAGCCCCGGTGGTTTAGTAGTTAAGTTTGGCTTGGTCCGCTTCAGAGGCCTGGGTTCAGTTCCCACACATGGACCTACACAACTCAGCTGTCAGTGGCCATGCTGTGATGGCGGCTCACATGCAAAAAGAGGAAGATTGGCAGCAGATGTTAGCTCAGGGCGAATCTTTGTCAGCAAAAAAATAAACAAACAAACTTTATTTTTTAGAGCAGTTTTAGGATCACAACAAAATTGAGAGGAAAGTACAGAGATTTCCCATCTATCCCCTGCCCCCACACATGCAGTTTCCCCTGTTGTCAACATCTTACATTAGAGTTGTACATTCGTTATAATTGATGAACCTACATTGGCACATAGTAATCACCCAGAGTCCATAGTTTACATTAAGGGTCACTCTTGGTGTTGTACGTTCTTTGGATTTGGACAAAGGTATGACGTGTGTCCATTGTTATGGTGTCTTACAGAGTAGTTTCACTGCCCTAAAAATCGGCTATGGTCCACCTATTCATTTCTCCTCCTCCCTAACCTCTGGCAATCACTCATCTTTTTACTGTCTCCATAGTTGTGCCTTTTCCAGAATGTCTTATGGTATGTAGTCTTTTCAGATTGGCATCTTTCACTTAGCAATGTGCATTTAAGATTCCTCTATGTCTTTTCGTGGCTTGATAGCTCATTTCCTTTTAGTGCTGAATAATATTCCATTGTCAGGATGTGCCACAGTTTTTTATCCATTCACCTACTGAAGGACATCTTGGTTGCTTCCAAGTGTTGGCAATTATGAATAGAGCTGCAGTAAACATCTGTGTGCATGTTTTTGTGTGGACGTAACTTTTCAGTTCTTTTGGGTAAATACCAAGGAGCACGATTGTTGGATTGTGTGATAAGAGTATGTTGAGTTTTGTAAGAAACTGCCAAACTGTCTTCTGAAGTGGCTGTACCATTTTGTATTCCCACCAGCAATGGATGAAGAGTTCCTGCTGTTCCACATCCTTGTGGCATTTGGTGTTGTCTGTGTTCTAGATTTTGACTGTTCTAATAGGTGTCTAGTGGTGTCTTGTTGTTGCTCTAATTTACAATTCCCCACTGGCATGTAACGTGGAGCATCTTTCCCTATGCTTATTTGCCGTCTGTATAACTTCTTTGGTGAAGTGACTGTTATGGTCTTTTGCCCATTTTTTAAATTAGGTTATTTTGTTATTGTTGAGTTTCAAGAGTTCTTTGCATATTCTGGATAACAGTCCTTTATCAGATGTGTCTTTTGGAAATATTTTCTCCCAGTCAGTGGCTTGTCGTCGTCTTCTCTTGACAGCGTCCTTCACAGAGCAGAAGTTTTTAATTCTAATGAAGTCTAGCTGATTAATTCTTTCATGGATCATGCCTTCGCTGTTGTATTTAAAAAGTCATCACCATACCTAAGATTTTCTCCTGTTATCTTCTAGACGTTTTAGAGTTTCACATTTTACATTTAGGTCTGTGATCCATTTTAAGTTAATTTTTGTGAAGCATGTAAAGTCTGTGTCTAGATTCATTTTTTTTTAATTATTTTTTTTGGATCATATTGGCTGGCCCCAAACAGTCCAGTTTTTATCTGTCACCATACATATGTGTCCTTGTACTCCTTTCGCCCTCCCCCCACCCCCTTCTGTGGTAACCACTAATATGTTCTTTTCTGTGTGTTTGTTTATCTTCCACATATGAGTGAAATCGTACGGTATTTGTCTTTCTCTGTCTGACTTATTTCACTCAGCATAATACCCTCAGGGTCCATCCATGTTGTTGCCAGTGGCATGGTTTTGTCTTTGTTTATGCCTGAGTGGTATTCCATTGTTTATATATACACCACATCTTTATCCGTTCATTCGTTGATGGGCACTTGGGTTGCTTCCACATCTTGGTTATTGTGAATAATGCTGCAGTGAACATAGGGATGCATAAATCTCTTTGAATTGTTGATTTCAAGTTCTTTGGATAAATACCCAGTAGTGGAATACCTGGATCATATGGTTTTTCTATTTTTAATTTTTTGAGAATTGTCCATACTGTTTTCAATAGTGGCTGCACCAGTTTGCATTCCCACCAGCAGTGTCTGAGGGTTCCCTTTTCTCCACATCCTCTCCAACACTTATTTCTTGTCTTGTAAATTATAGCCATTCTGATGGGTGTGAGGTGATATCTCATTATAGTTTTGATTTCCATTTCCTGAATAATTAGTGATGTTGATCATCTTTTCATGTGCCTCTTGGTCATCTCTATATCTTCTTCGGGAAAATGTCTGTTCATATCCTCTGCCCATTTTTTGATTGGGTTGTTTTTTTGTCATTGACTTGTATGAATTCTTTATATAGTTTGGAAATTAACCCCTTGTCAAATATGTGATTTGCAGATATTTTCTCCCAGCTGGTGAGTTGTCTTTTCGTTTTGTTGATGGTGTCCTTTGCCTTGCAGAAGCTTTTTAGTCTGATGTAGTCCCTTTTGTTTATTTTTTCTTTTGTTTCCCTTGCCTGAGTAGACATGTTATTCAGAAAGATACTGCTAAAACCTATGTCAAAGAGTGCACTGCCAGTATTTTCTTCTAGAAGTTTTATGTTTTCACATTTGACCTTCAAGTCTTTAATCCATTTTGAGTTAATTTTTGGGTATGGTGTAAGATAATGTCCTACTTTTATACTTTTGCATGTGGCTGTCCAGTTTTCCCAACACCGTTTATTGAAGGGACTTTCTTTTCTCCATTGTACATTCTTGGCTCCTTTGTCAAAGATTAGCTGTCGGTAGATGTGTGGTTTTATTTCTGGGCTTGCAATTCTGTTCCATTGATCTGTGTGTCTTTTTTTGTGCCAGTACCATGTTGTTTTGATTACTATAGCTTTGTAGTATGTTTTGAAGTCAGGGAGTGTGATACCTCCAGGTTTATTCTTTTTTCTCAAGATTGCTTTGGCTATTTGGTGTCTTTTTTTGTTCCATATAAATTTTAGGATTCTTTGTTCTATTTCTATGAAGAACGTCAGTGGGATTCTGCTTGGGATTGCATTGAATCTGTAGATTGTTTTAGGTAGTGTGGACATTTTAACTGTGTTTATTCTTCCAGTCCATGAGCATGGCATATCTTTCCATTTCTTTGTCTTCTTTGATTTATTTCAATAATGTCTTACAGTTTTCATAGGTCTTTCACCTCCTTGGTCTAATTTATTCCTAGGTATTTTATTCTTTTTGTTGCAGTTATAAATGAGATTATATTCTTGATTTCTCTTTCCATCCAGTTTGTTGTTAGTGTATAGAAATGCAACTGATTTTTGTAAGTCGATTTTGTACCCTGCAACTTGACTGTATTCATTGGTTACTGCTAATAGTTTTTTGGTGGATTCTTTAGGGTTTTCTACATATAGAATCATGTCATCTGCAAATAGTGGCAATTTTAGTTCTTTCCTATTTTGATCCCTTTTATTTCTTTTTACTGCCTAATTACTCTGGCCAAAATTTTCAGTACTTTGTTGCATAAGAGTGGTGAGAGTGGGCATCCTTGTCTTGTTCCTGCTCTCAGAGAAATAGCTTTCAGTTTTTCACTGTTGAGTATGATGTTGGCTGTGGGTTTGTCATATATGGCCTTTATTATGTTGAGGTATTTTCCTTGACTCATTTTTTTGAGGGTTTCCATCATAAATGGATGTTGGATCTTGTCACATGCTTTCTTTGCATTTATTGAGATTATCACGTGATTTTTATTTTTTATTTCGTTAATGTGATATATTGCATTGATTGATTTGTGGATTTTGAACCATATCTGCATCCCTGGAATAAATCCCACTTGATTGTGGTGTTGATCCTTTTAACGTATTATTGTATTTGATTTGCTAATATTTTGTTGAGGATTTTTGCGTCTGTTTTCATCAGCGATATCGCCCTGTAATTTTCCTTTTTTTTGTGTTGTCCTTGTCTGGTTTGGTATCAGGGTAATGTTGGCCTCATAGAATGAGTTGGGAAGCATTCTGTACTCTTCAGTATTTTGGAATAGTTTGAGAAGGATAGGTATTAAATCTTCT